AGATATTGATACAAATTATTAACCCTTACGCCCCTTTTTTTTCTATCTTTTTTTTTTTTAAATAATTGCTCTAGCCGTTACCATTGTAATTTTAATTTTAATAATGAATATGCTTATAAAACGTGTAAATTTCAAGAATTAGTTATTCCAAAAACAATTTCGCTTGAAGATGGAACAGAGCTTAGTACTTTAATTCAATTTAATTCAAATAATTATATTGAAGTTTTCAGCTCTTGTTTTGAAACATGAGAACTCTTATGTAGTGATGGAATCCTATTTTTAAATAAATAATTATATATTATAAAGAAGTTAATCATACAAAGAATTAATCAGTAACGTTAATGTAATTAATGGCGAATTCACTTCACTAGCAGATTTAATAAAGCATTGACCAAATCAACACTTCTGCTAAGTATATTACATGATATAAGTACCTCTCTTCTTTTTCTAATGTTACTTATCGAAATAATACTTCACTTTCAAAATGTTTTTGAAAGAAGAAAATAAAACCCCTAAAGTTAAGTGGAAAATTTTAAAACCAGCTAGAACTGGTACACCTAAGTTAGTGGAAGGTTATCAGATGGGGTTAAAATGGAGTAGAAATAAGAATAGATGTGTTAGATAATAAAAGATTAAGCAAGATCAATAATATTTTACATCAGTTTAAACCTACTCCTCTGACAACATTTGGAAACTAACTCATTCCTTTAGTTTAGTAGTATACTTTGATTATTGAATTTTATTATTCTAATCTTCTCTTCTAAACATAAGTTACATCTGCATTTAAAATTATTAGGAGTGTGAGCAAAACCTATAATTCTCCAGTCAATCTGAAGGTTCAGATCTCTTTTCCTCAATTCCCAAAATTTTTTGGAAAGAGTAGTTTGGTATTTTAATTTTTGGTTGGAAAAAAAGTGCCTATGGGAGTAAAGTTTTTGTTTCCATTCCCTCATGGAAATTCCAATGTAAATATTGTGATTTAACTTCTTTTCTTTGGGGTAAATATATATCTATATTAATTTATATTGTAAATATTGTGATTTAAATAATTTCTTTTGGTGTGTATATATATATATATATAAATTTTAGCAGAGACATTGATATCTTCATATACCATATATGCTAGTATAAAACAAGCATTTAAATTAAAAAGAGATTATGCATATATTGCACAGCATCCAATGCACTGGTATAATAACTAGGAGGCCCATATAATAAAACTCAAAGTAGACAGTTATGGAGCTTGGATGAGTTGTAAACCATCCATCTAGCTGAACATATAATTCATTAACAAAATGCCTTGGTCTTTCATGCCATGATAGTCTACATGCTTTTGGGTTTGCAAGCAACTAAGGATTGCTACATTGAGATAGACATTGAAATCATTTATCAAAAGATTGAAGATTTTTTTTTAACTGTATAAACAACACTTTTGAAGTTTTACAAATGATAAATAATATTTCTTTTTTTATAATCTAAATAATTTTTCAACCAACTATGTAACCAGCATCAGACTGAATTCTTTAAAATCAAAAAAATCATTGCTTTGATTGGATTAGCAAAAATAAGCACTGGTATAAACAGGTATTGTTAGATATTTTATTTAGTTATGTTCTGAGTTTTCTCTTAAGTTTGACTTTAGAAATTGCAATAAAAGAAAACATTTCACAAAAGGAAATATGAATTTGTCTGAATTGTTAGGATTTTTGTTTTTGGACACACAGATGTTTGACTAAGGGAATCAATCAGTCAACCTCTCCAAAATGAGAGCTTTCAAATCAAAATAACTTTGCTATCCTCAAGCAAATATGTAAGAAAAATGATTTCATTTGTTCTTTTGTTTTGTCCTCTCCTTTCTCTCTCTGGCTTCATTTCCTTTCTCCTTTTTACTTTCTTTCCTTTTCTCTTATCCACTCTCCTTTTCTCCTCTCTCTGTCCTTTTTACACTTTCTTTTTTACATTGTCCTTATTGAATTTGGCATTAGAGGAGGATTACCACATTTTCTTTAAAACAATCAATATTTAAATAATGATATGTTTCTTTTGGTGTCTCTCTTTTTATAGTCTTTTCTTGACCATTTTTTTTAAAACTAATTAAGCTAATATTTGATAAGAATATCAGAAGGCTAATTTATATAATTATTATTATTGTCAGTTCAGTTTTTGTAATGTATGTGTGTGATTCTGTCAGATCATCAATCATTGAAAATGACTCAGACAGTAAGGATACCTTAAAAAAATATACTATCAGTTTTTATGAAGAGTGTCTCCTGCAGGCATTATACTTGTCAGTGATTTTAAGCCCCTATTTCCTTTCTCATTGAAGAGTTCCTGAACTAAATTCTTTCATTATTTTTTACAAAAACTTCAGTGGGTGACAATGGATAACATGTACAGTGTAAAAGGTTTCTTTCCTTGTTAATTGCTGACATTTTAAGGATTAACTGAACTCTTTGTTTAGCTATGAATAAACCATGATAGTTATATAAAGTTGTAGCTTTTGTTATTCATGTCTCTCCTCCTTTTCCATATCATTTTGTGATTGATGAAATTGTTTATATAATGTGCAGTATGAATGGGCAACATTCTTTTATGCTTTAAATTCTTTTCACTATTAATGCTGAAAAGTAAATCATTGCAGAAAAGAAATCTACATCAATACAAAAGGGATGCTGAAAAATTCTTAGGCTCAGCTCTCTTCCCAAGACCTGAATTTTATTTTTGAAAGCACCTCCTTCAATTATAGTTGAATTCAAAATAAACAAGTGAAAGAAAAATTAACAAAATACTCAGAATCCAATTATTCTATAACTGAGTAGTTCATCAGGTCCTTAATTTTACAAGGCAACAAAATTACAATAGCTGTTAGGCCATAGTAAAAATTAACTGTCATTAAAAAAGAAAAGATGAAATGTAGAAGGAAAAAATAGTTTTTGTTCTGTATTCTAATACAGTACTAATAAAACTAGTCTTGAGTATGAATATGCTTAAACCAGAATTTCTGATATAGAATATATGTGCAAAATATATATGCTTGGTTAGCAGAAATATATATATTCTAGAAGCTACTTTTTTATTTACCATTAATATTAAAATCCTAACAATATTGATGGAATTAACTATACAAAAAATGTTATATACATGCACACATATAAGATGCTCACGAAAGTACGACTTCCTATTTATTTCCAGAAAAACTACAACAGATACAGGAAACACTATAACATCATTGAATAGAGCAAGCTTTTGACTATAAAACAGTATTTTCTAATAACAGTAGCTATGACATTGTTATAAAACTATTTTCTGCATTGCCCATCTTTCATTGGGCTGAACATGACTTGTCACATCTACTGTCACCACTGCTGAAATTCATTACCTACTACTGAACTGTGTTCACATACATTGTTTAATTTCCATAAATATTCAACCAGTGGGTGAAATTATTCCTGCATGATGAAATTTAATGACACATCTTTGCTTCATATACACTTTCATATGAGACATTATTTTACCAGAATGTCATTCAAAAACTATATGTAACAAGGCCACTCAAAATTATTGCTGTTTCATCTGTGAACGCAATCATTAGGCCTAACAATTACATTTATGCATGAAACACACTGTCACCACTGGGTGTTGACCTCAGTGTCCAATTTTATATTCACATATGCTCAATCTCTTGAGCCCTTTAACTCATAAATATAGCATAACTCAAAACTATATTTTATCATAATAATTTTTAACTCAAAACTATATTTTATCATAATAATTTTTAACTCAAAACTATATTTTATCATAATTTTTAACTCAAAACTATATTTTATCAAAAACTAAAACTATATTTTATCATAATAATTTTTAACTCAAAACTATATTTTATCATAATAATTTTTAACTCAAAACTATATTTTATCATAATAATTTTTAACTCAAAACTATATTTTATCATAATAATTTTTAACTCAGAACTATATTTTATCATACTTTTGATTCAAAATATGATAAAAACTTTAGCAATTATATAATTCATCTTCTTTTCAGGATTCTAAAGATTAAGCTTATATAAATTTTCCTGACCAAACAATAGACTGTTCCCTACCAACACCCTTTTTTCAATAACAATCTAAATGGATATTGTCAATATCCAGTTATTATTTTGGGTCTTTATAATGTGTAGGTGAATATATTTCTATATATATCTGTTCATTTCTGGTCACTCTAGTATATTCAATTCTAAGGAAATAGAATTTACTTTGATAGGACTGACTTGAGGCCATTATACATTCACTTTGTTTTGTAAAACACTCCAAACAAAGTCATGGTAATAAAAAATATTCCCATGATTGAAGTCTGCACAAAAAAAAACATTTCATAACTTTTAGGCTTTTTAATGTGAATATAGTTGGAATTTTTTTCTGTAATTTCTTCTTTTTCTTTTTTGAATTTTGTTTCTTTGTAATTTTTGGTTATAGCATGCAGTTTTTCTCAGTTCATGAAATATAACTTATGTGTCCATACATAAAAGTATTTAGTCACCCACATATTAAAAGCCACTTTTTAAAATACAGAAGTTGAAAATAAATTATTTTTAGACTAACAACCCATTATACAGCAACTGCATTGATATATTCAGAATTTTATCAGTGTGACATGAATAATAATAATGCAAGTTATCTTCTTTCAAAACAATGAGAAGGATAAATTATCTTTTATCATAGTTTCATTTATTTTTAATTTGTGATTATTTGATTGGTAATGTTTAAATTTAATCACCTGAAAATCAACAATTTACTTTATATTTTTTACATAATTTACTATATTTACGTATAATTAAATCGAGTAATTTCTTTATCTTCAACTAAAATTGTTTTTGCCCAGACTATTTAACCTCAATTATTATCAGGTAAATTCTTGAACATTTTTTTATCCAGTTCAACTCTCACTTGGTCAGATAATAAAATTCCCTATTTTATTTCTCATTTTACATTTTTCTTCAGGATGATAAAGACTTGGTCCATGAATTTGTTGAAAATGAAGGCCTTGATTGTCTCATCAAGGTGGGAGCAGAATCAGACCAGAATTACCAGAATTTCATTCTGAGAGGTTAGTCTATTTTTCTTATGAATAACTGGAAAGGAATAACATTTCACTTTTTTTTTTTCTGCTTGGCTGTCAAGAACCCATGTGGAATTTTGCCCAAAGCAAGAAATACACATCTGTTGTATATAAATGGCAGATATACTTTTAATTCTCATTCTCTTGTATTTTTTCACTTTTTCATATTTCTATGTTTTATCTATTGTAAATATTTCCATTTCTGAAATTCCTCTTTTGATAAAAAGTAACAAAATTTCAAACTTGAACTTTTTATGATTAAAATCAAAAAGGAAACGACTTCATTTGATTTTTGTTTTTCTCTCTTCTCAAAAATATCTCTCCCAACCAAAGACTCTCAATTGTGGGTCATTGCAAGTGTTTTATGTGCATGAGAATCACATCCATATAATTTTATTAAAATCCTAAATAATTGAATCCCAACTTCAATGTGAAAGGATTTTATTTCTGTTAGAAATCTTATTTGCTATCTCGGATGACATTCAATTTTTCACACTCCATTGTAGACCCGAACATTTCAAATTGGTTTAATAGATTTCTTTTTGTCTTTATTTTATTTCTTTTTTATCTGAATCTTTTGGTTGATTACACTGACACTAATTCAGAATTGGACCACACCAAAAAGGTTGTGGGTCAAATTTTTTCACAACTTGAACTCTTTATCCTCTTTCCAATGACTAAAAAACAAGATTGAAGTTTTCCTTTTGAACTATGAGAAAATCAATACAAGATAAAAAAATAAAAAACACTCAATAACATACAATCCTGGATTGTATATAATTCATGCCATATTAAACAAAAATAAAAGTCAATTTTGATCATGGATTCAAAGTAAACAGCAGACGTTTTTCTTTTAAGCAAGATTCTATTTGCAGTTTTGTTAGGAGAAAAATTTGATTTATTTTTAGAGAACAGTCATTCTGAAAAAATTGCTTTTTTTCTAAGTTGGGACAAACTCACTGCAGTAGCAATAGTGTGTAAGATGAGTTTACTAAACATTGTTCCCTGTCTTTGATAAACCAAGCAAGAAATCAACATAAAACCCATGTCTATTTTACAATCTATTTATGAGGATCCCACAAGATACAGTTATTAAGTTTTAATTGAAAGAGCTGGGTTGTTGAAGATGTAAAAGTGTTGGGTTAAGTACTTTAACAAAGAAATAAATTATGTTGAAAAATGTCATATAATTTTTTTCTTCACATTATTAGACTGAACATGTTGATGTAACTAATTCCAAAAAAAAATAAAATTGATTAAACATTTCAGAAAAAAAAAAGTTGTTTCCCTTGACTTGTCTGCATTAACTACATCAGCCATTGTAGCATACACATGATAGATAATACAGGGTGGGTCGTTTTGGGGGTTTTTGGGGTTTTTTTAAGATATTTGCTTGAATTTAGAAAAAGACACATAGCTTATGAAAAAAAAAGCCTTATTTGAAAACAAATTGGCACAAATAATTTTGCAAATCCATTTATCACACCTAATCAATGACTCCACCATTAGCATTGATTGCTGTTTTGATATGGTGTCAGAATCACTGACAATCCCAAATCCCATGGGAGTGTTGATTGACCTCCCTCTTAAATATGTTTCATATGTAGTAATCCAGCATATTCAGGTTTGATGAGCTACAAGGCACTGTGTATGTTTGGGAGAACATGATCGTGGGGGTGGTCATGGGTTGTCTTAGCCTTTCATGAGATGGTGCAGAGTCTTATTGAAAGATATTTGGTCTTCCATTGTATATGATGTCTATTCAGAGTTTCACAACTCCCTCCAGCACCTCCTGATAGACAGCTACATTGATTCTTAAGCCCTGAAGAAAAGAAATGCAGAGGCATGATATCTCTTTTGTTGCTGGTGATCCCAAGAACCATCATCATTGCCAGGAACTCTGTATGCATGACTCTTGGAACCTTAGTCAGGTCTCTACATAAACATCTGTTGTTCCTTCAATTTATGTTTTGGTCCTGATCAGTTTTTCTAATCAAACAAAAACTAAAACATTCAAGTTTCTTGGTCTTTTAGCTTGTTTAGCAAGCACTTTACACAGATCAAACAATACTCTTGTGTCTCTTCCAACATAAACTGACTTCTTATCACAGATAACTTGTAACAAATGTCATCATTCACAACTCTTTTCTGATGGTGCACTCTGACATCTTGAGGTCCTTTGTAATGGCTCTGATTGACTTTCTGGGGTTCTTATTGATTATTTTCTGGACCTTTTGTACAAAGTTAGGTGTTCTCATTGTACTCGGACCATTAGCGTGCATTTTATGTTTAGCTGCTGCTATTGTGTTCCCATCAGCAGTTTCCAGCTCCTTTCAAACTTTGATAATGAAAGATCAGGCAACTTTCAGGAAGTGAGCTATCTTTGTATCACTATATTATGCTTTTAAGGGAACAATTACAGCATCCTTTTTTCATTTGCCAAGTTCATTTGATGCCTAAAATTATTTATCTGTTAAGAAAAGGTAATAAAAATAACTCAGAAGACAGCTCTTGAAAAACATCTCCTCAAAAAACTGACATGCTCTGTATTTTAATAATAGTAATAATTAGTGGCAATTATCATTTACAAATATAAATTTTATAAATAGATAGAGAAATATAAATAATTTTTTTTAATATTTTGGAATTCTTAAAAATATTTCTCTTTTGTCTAACATGTTTTTTCATTTTCAATAAATTCTGTATCATTGTAAAGACTAGAGACCTCGATATTTTGTCACAGCTGTTCATTTTATCTTACATCAAATTCTTTTAAGCAGTAAATCAATTTGCCAAAGGAAATAAGCAATTTCAAAAGGTGTCCCAATCTTGAATGATTCAAAGCTGTTGCCATGTTTTATTCATGGAATATTTAGCAATTGAAGTCTGGAGAAAAGGACCAGGAACCAATATATAGATTTTTTTCTGCAAAAGTTTTTTTTTTTTTTTTTTTTTTTTTTTCAGAAAATATAAAACAAATTTATATCTTTTTTACTTTTTAAAATTTATATTGTAATTGTGAGTTGTCCTACATACACAATGTTGGAATAAAAAATAAAACTGTTCAAAATTTCTTCATTGATTTACCTAAGAAAGATTTTTCATTGTATTACACACACATTAATAAACTGCTTTCCCAATCTTGAATTTTCTCATGTACTTCAATTTTTTAAGGATACTGAATCTAAGAGAAATGATGATAAAACCTCTACAAATAAGAAAACAAAACCAAAATTATATCTTGAAAAGAGGGAAAGCAAAATAAATATGTTGGTCACAAACAAGGGAAATGCAGATTACAAATGTTTAACCATTTATAAGACTTAATAAATAAGTACAAAGAAATTGATATAGTTTTAATAAAAAGTAAATTTTACTCCAAGAACATTTAACTACAATAATTATGCCCCAACTAGTAAAGCAAGTCAATTATTTTTAACAAAATTAAATGCGAAAAGGAGCTGACACATTTATGCCTTTAAAAAAGCTAATCAATTAACAAACTACAATCAATCACCACAATAATGTTGTTTTGAACAAGGACAACACATAATATCATTGCTGTTATGTCATTAGTGTTGACTTTCAAGAAGTCAACAGCTGCAGAAGAATTTAAAAGATTTATGAAGCTGTATAATCTGACACCCAACCACACAAGAATATTCAGACATTTACTGATATTTTCTTACATACAACCCTATGGAAGAAGGAAGATTGTCTTCCAAGTGAAGAATGTCTCATTGGGTCAAGAAATACAGACTTAGTGGAAACAGGGCAAGCAATAACTGAGCAACACTAAATAAGAACAAGACAAGATATTCCTAGACATGAACAGTGAAACAAGAGCAATCTGCTCACATATATTAAATAAAGGGTTCAGTTTGAAATTCTCTGTAGGTTACTCAAATTGACAGTTACCTGAATAAAACTGGAGAGCACAACATAACAACAAAAACGAGGACATTAGACCAAATGTAAATAAAGATAACTCCTCATCCTAGTAATTCAAAGATACACAATTTCATCTGTCACAAAGTAAGCCATATATAATATGCCAAGTGATTTGTTTTGTCTTTTGTCATTTTTGACAGCATGTGTAAGCAAGTTTTTATATTTTTCTTACAATGCTTTTGTATTTCATCTAAAATCTTGACGTTTATGCTCAATACTTCTTGATATTTAATCTGATGCTGTAACCACTGAGCTTGCACTTAGAAAACTTTTACTGTTTTCCCTGTTTACAAAATACTTCATATTTCTCACTCAATCATGCTTAAGCTGGTCATATCAATATTATATAAAAGTGTTCAGCAGAGTTCAAAAGCCATAATACTTGTCCTGGCTAGTTCTTATTTTTAGATTAAAAATCTAGTCCCTCAAATTTCAATCTGTGCAGTAATAGTGAACTATAAAGCTTCATTTATCACCATCAAAATGACAACTGCTGTTATTAGAAACATAAACAAAGTCTTTTCCAATATTAGTTTAACACTGATTAATTCAGTTAGTCACTAATATTATTAATTCTCATCACGTAAATGTTAATTGTATTGGGTAACACTCAGGTGTAGTTGGGCTTATCATAAAGATTAAAAATCAAAATATAATATTGTATGCTTATAAAAAAAAAAGCTTTTAGAAGATAAAAAAAACTTTTTGTAAGCAATTTGTTCAATTTTAGAATTCTAAAAGTGTTTACCTCTTGAAAACATGATTGCCTACATATTTTCCTTCAAGTGTGTATTATGTTTTGTTTTCAGCTCTTGGTGTTGTCATGTTGTATGTGGATGGTATGAATGGAGTAATCCGACATAATTCAACAATCCACTGGTTGTATTCATTGCTTTCATCAAAAGTAAGTAAAATTTGTTCATTTTGTTTATTAGTACATCCACTCTTGGCATCAGTTTAAAACAGAACTGAAAATATTTCAATTCTTTTGATGCATGTTTATCAATTTTTTTTTCTTACCCCAGATTAAAAATTCAGTTTATTTTTTAAATTTTGTTAGTATTTTTTTATCTTTCCTAAATAATGCAAAACAAAGATAAAGAAATAATTTTACACAAGAATGTAATCCAATTGAGTTGAATTATTTTCCAAAGCAAGTTCATGAGTAGAAAGCTGCCATTATAATTTTACAGTGAATTATTACAATTTTTAATATTTAGAATGCAAAATTTAAAATACAATTGTGCCACACAAAGAAGCCATTATTACCTCTCTCCCATCTCCTAAAAATACAATTAAACTCAAAATTATCTATACCACTGCAAAATTTATGATTTTTAAAAAAATATTTTCATTGAAGTAAATACTTTTTTTTTGACTGAAACTGACATGGAAAGAAAGGAGAGTGAAAGAAATAATACTTGAGAAATATAGATATATATTTATTTCATTGAATTATTTGCAATTTGATTACAAAATGCATGTCCAAAATTATCCATTCCTATATCTTAATAATGAATTGCAAATTTTTTATTAGCTATCACAGCCTGCGACCAGTTTTCATACTTCATCATTGGCATACTCCTCTAAGGTTTCCAGGTTTTTAAGGCTAGGGAGTTTATTTACCATTACTCATGTCTTCAGCTATCTTCACAAATTTTCAATTAGTCTACAGTATTGGAATCTGGCTTGACCACTTGAAAATTTTATTATCTATAAATCATTTCTTGACCAACTTTGATGTGTGTTTGGGTCATTATTTTGTTGGAAGATACACTAATGTTGCAATCAGAGTTTTTCAGTGAACTGATTATAATATGGAAGACTGTGTAACAAATAAAATTACAACACTGCTTTTAGCTTTCCTTACTCATATGTACTGAAAGCCAACATAAATTTACAAACATCTCATGTGACAAATGAAATATGGGTGGCCAAAATGAAAAAAAAAAAACTGACATAACCCACAATAGCCAAAGTGTATGTCAGTATGGTTTTTAAAGTTGGCTTGTATACAGAATTACATTTGCCTAAATGTTAACAGGGACAAACTGGAAAAACATCCATCATTTTTCATAACCTCAAAAAATCGCATTACTATTCTAAATTTTAGATAAGTTTATTTGCAATATGTGACTTAATAAAAAATACTTAACTAAAAATTGTTTTGATTTTAAGACAAAAGTATTTTCCTGATTTTAAAAATTCTAACCATTCATTATGAACATAAACTAAAATTTGGGTTCTAAAGCACTTCAATGTACTAAAAATACTTTCTAAGTGGACAATGTCTGTCATCATGCGTTGTTAACCTAGTTGTCTTAGAAGCATCCTCCTCCATCCTGTGATTCTGATTTCTAAAACATATGTAGGTAAGGCAGGGACTGAAAGGGTTTTTATTTTCATAATTTTTTTTTCTTTTACGGTTATTATTATTGCACACCACTTGCATATGCTTATGTGAAAGGCTAACCAAACTGGTTTCTTCGTCAAAACTCCATTCTTCTTTTTCATTCTGTTTTTCATTCCAATGAAAACAACTTCACTGTGTTTCATTGTGTGTGTGTGTGTGTGTGTGTGTAGGAAAGGGTAAGGATGGGCCTTTGCTAATGAGTTTTAAAAAAAGGAATAAAATTAGATGCCTATTTTCTTCATAAAAACTTACCTTCTTCAAAATAGCCTAAAAGCAATATAGGTATAATCCTTTTGCTGAAACTTGTCATTTAGTTGAAACAGAAGGAAAAAAAAAACAAAAAGTAATCTGCTTCCTTTGTTAAAGTTCAGAAATTAAATAGAGGTTTGCTGGTAAAATGTGATATTGACTAGCAGTCATAGTGATCATAAAAAACACTTTGTCCAAAATTGAACTTGTAATGACTCATAATACAACTTAAAGTACCTATCAAAATATGTAAAAACTAGTGTACTCATGCCATTAAAAATGAGAGCTTATTTTTTTATCCATCAGTTATGATGTTGATAATTGATTTCAGTGAACAAAGATTATATACTCTTTGACCTCTGTTTTATGCATTTCTTATAGCTCCAGTATTCTCATTCCTCCTCCTTCTGTTGCTATTCCATTTCTTATCAAAGACATTCTTCCATTCACATTCTTATATATTTTCTTCTTGTGTTAGACTCTTCCTGTTTCATTTTTTTTTTTTTTTTTTTTTTTTTTTTCTTGCACTGCTCTCTCTCTCTCAGATCTACCCTCCTCCTATTACCCTCTTCTGTTTCATTAATTCGCCTCTGAGCCTCACGTCTCCTGGCTTGTACTTCTTTATTGCTTCATGACATTCCTGTGATGTCTGTGAATATCTTTGCCTGTTAGCCTCTGACCATGCCTTTATCTGATCCAGAGATAGGTGTAATCACTACATTTTCACTCTCATTCTAATAAAAATATAGTTTTTTTATGGGTAAAAGTATTTGATATCAGATATAGTGTGTGTGGAAATATAAGAATGGACACCGAGTTCAACACAGTGGTGACAGTCTGTTTCCTACTTGAATTTCAGGCCTAAAATTTCAAACATGAAACAAACTGTTACCACTAGCTGTTAACCTCTGTGTCCACCCATATATAAATTAGATACTTGAAGCCCTTATCACATAATCTAAAAATCTAAAACTTCAGTTGGGTACTGGGATTTTTAATATATTGAACAGTTAGTTCAGATGTATATCATGTATAAGACCCTCATAATGCACAAAGAAAATGTTGTAATACCAAATTTAAAGCACTTGAAAATTTAAAAAAACACAACAACCATTTCTTAGCTCTTAATTAATAACCAGAAGTATAGTTCAAAGTATTCATTGGATTCAGACATTTTCACTCTTGTAGATAAGTAAGCTAACTAAAAATTAAAACATTCCTTAGTTGTCATCTTTAATTAACGTTATGTTAATGAAGGGTTGCTGTCTAACTACAAATATAAGGGTCTGCTGGCCAAATCCATTTTACAAAATCAGTATTCTGTTGTTTTGGTCATTAAAATACTGATATTAGGAAATGGCTCACAACTTTTCAGCACCTCTTTGTGTGTCTGTCCTATATATTTATGTAAGTTTGACTGAAGACTTTTTATTTAATTTCTTTCCCTTTAAACCATTTTTCTGGTTTTCAGGGAGAATCTGAACATTAATTTCATACACAATTTCTTTTTTCTTGTCTATAGAATAAATTTATTTTTTCATTAAAATTTATCAAATATTTTTATTGAACAATAAATCATGTTTAGTGCTACAAAAAGACAAATGCAACATAAATAGATGTCACAATTGTTTTGCAGTTATTATTAGAACTAGTTAAATTTCTGTCAAAAGTCCTTATTCTTAGAAAATGTTTGACATTGAGAGTATATGAATAAATCCTTAGTACAAGGGAGATCAAAACACACACATGGCATATTATAAGGTGTATGTTTGTCTGTCTTTCTTTTTAAAAGATCAAATTTAGTTGATTTCTTGTTCAAGAGACAATCTTTTGACAATGAAGAGAAAATTAAAAAAATAAATTAAAATAGGCTTAAATTCTGACAAAGTATTTTCTTTTTTTATCTAACTAGTTTGCTTTATCTTTTACATTTTATCACATTCCATTCCATAAGGAATCACCAAATCAAAATATTGTAATCTTTAATAAACCTTGACTATCCCACATTGGAAACTATTTTCTAATCTCAAGATGTCAGTAATCAAAAAGGTTTCACTGAATATTAGCAATGGATCTCAAAATTTCAGTTAAAATATTAATTCACTCTTTAACATAGAACAATTGCACTGAAATATAAAAATAATCTTTTTTTTTTCTTTCAGAAAACATTAAATCATTTATTTTTGATAATTATTGAATTATAAGAATAGATATAATTTATTTGAATTATAAGATAAAATATTTTCATTATTAATTTTCTACTATTTTACCTTCATTTTACTGAACCCAGAACACATTTACTGATAGTGTAATATATAAATTTATACATATAGACAGCATATCCTCATTCAAGCTTGTTTGGTTGAATAATCTGGGCATATTTTGTCTATTTATTTTCATTTTAATCCTCTTGAATTCTTGGATCAACTTTTTAATGTTGATAATAAATTCATTAAGGAAGGTGTCATAGTTTTTTTCATTTCTTTTATTTTCCCAAGTACTTTCAATCTCATCAAAGATCATCTTCAGAGGTGAATTGCTAAGACAAAAAATTAATGCAATTGATAGTTGTGAATTTTTTTGTAAATCCACATGAAGATCCTTGAGGCCCTCTATAAGAAAAATACAACCAACACTAAATAATGTTAGTTATGAGTATAGCAATAATGTTTTAAAATGTCTATAATAGCAATGTTTTTAAAATATTTAAATTTTAATTATAAAAAAATGACTATATAAATTAAAGTTACCTCCCTTAGATAAAACATTAAAATACATAACTTTAACAGTTAATTTTTAAATTAATTATAATGGAGCACATTCATACGTGTTTATAATTATAGCAGAGCACATTTCATGAGCATTTACAAAAAAAATTCCCAACTATCAATTACATATTCTTACTTCAACATTGCATTCATTATCCAGTCATTTAGTTTTGGCACTGCAAAAATCATACATTTGGTTATGAAGATTCGATGCTGTGTAAGTCATAGGTTTAGCTGTGCAGAATTCATGTTTCAAATCCTTTGTCCAATTAAGTATATCAGATATGCATTTCTTAAATGACGGACACATTTCACCATTCACATATGCCCTTAATATAAGCTGCATAGTGTTAAGTTAAATTGGAGTTCATCACTTGTGCAATCTCACTTGCTTGACTGTAACAAGTGAAAGAGGAATTGTTCACAAGACTCATCTCTGTTTAATTCTGCATTCGAGTTACATGTGAGTTGGGGGTCATCATTCCTTCTTTTCAATTCAGAAAGTCAATTCTCATGAGAATTTAATATATGCTCTGTTTCCTTCGAGATTCATCACCCAACTGAGTTCTGTCAATCTTTCCCGCTCAATCATTTGTATCTGGTCACATGATTCGTCACATGTATGAGAATCTATTTTTAGCTTTGGCTTCCATGTGTTGCCATTGTCATCAGTCTGATTTAATTGTCTTTGTGTTTAGTGACTGCTGTCACATACCAAAAGAGGGTGGGGGAGCGTTCACATATTATATTGTTAGAAAGATGGGAAAGAGAGATGGGTTGTTAAATGTCAGATTCATAATATATATATATATATATATATATATATATATATATATATACACTAGCTTAATAGCTGCCCTATTCGGTGCCATTTAAACTAGCTTTTGCAGAGGGCTCTTTATTAGGCCTTCATCACAATAGGTAGGGAGGAATAGTGCAATAGGCAACTATAAACTACAGAGGAATTCAAAATTGATTGCTGCATTTGAGTATTGCATTAATATTTAAGCTTGCCTTTTAAAAGTTCAACCATAATTCTTCTGCTGCAACTTAATTTAAAGACAGTTTTATGTACTTTCCGTACAAACAATTATTTTTATTTCATGGGTGACTTTCGTTGCAATTAATTTCAATTATTCCCAAATTTATTTCCAAATTATAAAAATTGTTATCATTCAAAAAGATTTGTCACAAAAAATCACATAAAAAATCATTAAGAACAATCACAGTATTTCATTACTGTGATTGTTCTTAATGATTTTTTGGATTTCAGGATTGCAGGTCGGATCCAACCCAGAATGTTTTTAATTTTTTCATGGAGTCAGCCTGACTTCAAAATGGCATGATATGTTGGGCTATGGCCCCTATGCATAAAGTTAAAAAACTGTTACACTCTGACACACACACACACACATATATATATATATATATATATATATATATATATATATATATATATATACACACACACACACACACTGTAAAAATTTATACATTTGTGCTCAGGCTAGAGGCTTTTGCGTCCAGTCCATATTAGTTAATCTATCAATCATGCAAAAAAAAGTTGTTTCATCAAAAGCTGCTAATTTATTCTAATTTCTTGATGCTTTATTAGTTGAAAGGTATTTGGCCAATAAACTTAGATCAAAAAGCAATAATAATGTTTTTTTAATTATCTTAAATAAATAATTAATCTAGATATTCTCTAAGAAACCATGAACATTTTCTCCATTTTTCAGTTTCTCATTGCACATTTATAGTGACTTTAAAAAGTCACTATAAATGTGTTCTTGCAAAACTAAGAAATTATTTGAAAGATTCTCCTCAGAATTTTGTGGGTATTTCATAGTGGAAGTCATTATATGTCAGTGCCCTTCTCAGTCATCAATGGCTGCAGTTCTGACAGTTTGTGGTAAAGTTTTCTGGACCAGAAGTCAGCCTTGATAATTCTTTCTAACTTTTATTTCCCATTATGTAGATTTTTTTTTTCCCATCACAAATTCCTTTTCTTGTTCTCCAGGATTTATCATGGAGGAGAACGAACATTGCAGGATGTTCAGTTTGTCAAGTGATTTCCTGCCTTGAGCCTCCCACTCAAAAGCTAGACATTTTTCATTCAACCACAATCTCTATATATAACAAGGCCAAAGGCAAGGAAAAGTCTTCCTTGTTTTGTCATGTTGTTGGTAGGACCAAGTTTAGCTCTGATCATGTCAGTCTACTTTGTGTTTTTACAGCACCGGCTAGTTGTTAAAACAGCTTTGAAATTACTGTTGGTTTTTGTGGAGTACACTGAATCAAACACCCAACTCTTGCTCAGATCTATCAACAATGTTGATAGACGAAAAGGTAAGTCTCTCTCTTTTTCTTTTTTTTTCTTTTTTCTTTTCTTTTTTTTTTTTTTTTTTTTTTTTTTTTTTTTTTTTGTGTGTTATTAGCAAAGAAAATACAATCAGTAAACTTTGTTTACTTTGTCATGCAGTGCTCACATGTTAAAAATTCACTAAAACAGACAAAATGAATTAAAATCTAAGTGCATAAAAAAGTATGAAACCCAAGGATGAATGGGTATAAAATGCCAAATGTTGACCTCAGTATAAGATTTTGAGATAAAACCTGATGATAAATCAATAATCACAACAGGATTTCAAATCTTAAAAGAAAGAACAAGAAAACGTTTTGGTCTGTAAAATCTTTTAAGAAAATAGAAGACTAATTTTTATTACATTCAGACTATTTGATAATGTCTTTTCTTGCTTTACTATTTTTTTTAAATCTTTACTCAGTTATTCCAACATGGTATATTTACCCAACATGTGTTTTTCTCATTTGCTTTAGCAGAGCAGCTGTTTGTCACTTTGTCCAGAATTCTAGAAAAATAAATTTGTGTCAGAAGTAGACTGACCTTGTTCTTGGGCTGTCTTATACGTCTCATCAGTTCCAAACTCCTATGAATTACTCAAACCAGTCATTTTGTTACAAAACTGTTAAAAGATGTAGGGGACATCACTCTCTGTCTATATTTGATATATAGTGTTTCCTTTATGTGCATTTATTTTTACCAGCTTTTGTAATCATGTCAGATTTACTATTAGTGTGTGAGTTATAAAATCTTTCACCAGACATCTTCAGAAATAATTTAAAGATGTTTATCTTTAAATTATTTCTGAAGATGTCTGATTTATAATTGTCAAACTCTAAAAGTTATTTGATAAATAGCATATTTGATGGTCTTTTTCTTCTTCCAAAAGTAAATGTCTAAAAATATCTCTCATCTCATATGTGACACTGACATAGCTGACAGGCTCATGTTTACCCAGATGTTTTGGACTAATATTGCCTGTACCTAGCCTAACTTCATATTAAATGTAAATGGATGGAGGGTCTTATATTCCATGAAACATGGTAATATATCAATAAGAGAATATATATGTCTTTTGTTTCTACTTTATTTCAGGTACCAAACCCTGGTCAAACATCATGAATATTCTTGATGAAAAGGGAGGATCAGATTCAGAGCTTTTGAATTATGCTATGACTTTGGTTAACAAAGTAAGCAATTATCTTACTAAAATTCTTCTCTTTGCTTAGTCTTCAATAAATCCTTCCCAATTATGTTGGCTTAGCCCACTTCATCAACTAAAAACTGTCCTTATCCAAGTCTGTTGCTTACTTTAAAGCTTTTTAGGATTTGAGCAAAAATATTTCATGTTTTGTCCACAAATTTTAAGTGGTTGGGGAGGAGGAACAAAAAGATAGTCTTGTTCATTTTTATCAATTCTTTTTCTAATTTTAATGGCTGAGCCACAGAATTTCTGGAAACAATCAATTATCCATTTTTTTTTTTTTTTAAATAACTTGTTTCTTCTTATCTAGAAAAGAATGCAATGAATATCATTTTCTTTTCCTTCTTTTGATTGTCTTCTTTTCTATTTATTGCTTTGAATAGGGGTGGGCAATACTCACTGTAATAAATAAGCATCCATAAGGGTTCAACTTATCAGAAATTGGTGCACATGTTAGAGGGCACCAATTTCTATGGCTAAGAAAGTTACTATGCCAAGACAAAAGAAAATAAATTGATGTTCCATGTAAATATTATGCAAAAATATGACACTGACAAGGTTTTTATGGTTATAGAGAAATAATAAAAAACATTGGCAAACCTTTATGAAAAAAAATCCCTTTAATTTCAAACATTTAATGTTGCTATAGTGACAATAGATTTTTGGAATCTTGTTCATTATTTAAATCAAAAACTCTACTGTGCAGCAAAATAAATATGTCCACTTAGGGCCACAAAACAGAAACTGATTCTAGCATGTTGTCAGACATTTAAAAAAAAAAAAAAATGCCCCAAGTTGTACATGTCTGTTAATATCCTTTCTCATTCTGCTTTAAATTTTCTTGATTATTGTTGTTCTTTGTTGACTTTTTATCTCATAGCTTTGTGTTTTGCCATAACAGGTTCTGTATGCAATCCCAGATCAAGATACATTCTATGATGTCACAGATGTACTAGAAGAACTTGGTATGGAACGGATCACCAAGAAACACATGAGGAAGAAAGGAACAGATGTGGACCTCATGACGCAATTCCAGATCTATGATGTAAGATAGCATAAGATAAGATTCATTAGAAATTTTGAAATAAGGTAGATAAATTTATGTTCAGTGTTCTCTATTTAGCCTTTAAAGTAGGTCAGATTGTTTAAATAAAAAAAGGGGCAAAATGAATTAATTTATTGACCATGTGCATCATTTCATGCAATATCTTATAAAAGTTTCATGCAAGGTGTGAAGGCCAGCTCGAATCTGCCAACTACTTAAAAAATGAATATCTTTCCTAGTAGTGGTGATGTTTTCAATGATTGTACAAAATTCATGTAGTCATTGGTACTTTTATTATTATTATTATTATTTTTCCTTAGAAAAAGGCTATGCTAATTTTTCATTTATAAGTCAGACCTTTCATAATAATTAATTGTTAACCTTGCAAGGAAACATTTTCCTTTATTATTTCTGTTGAATTGCAGAAATCAGACTGAGTATTTCATTTATTAGATTTATAGATTACACACATAAATAAGCTTTAATTATTAATTTTGATGAGTTTTTCTTTTTTATTACAACCTTCAGATGAAGAGAAAATTCTAGTAAAACAATATCAATGCTTCCTCTAAAAAATTAAATCTGAAAACTTTTACTACCAGGTGTAAAAATGAAAGAAAGAATATTTACATAATTTACAATTGGACTAATCTCATTTTTGTTATCATGTTTCAGCAATTGTAACCTTTTCAGGTGTCTGTTGATCCAGGTAACCTTCAAAGAATTTCAAAATGAACCCTTTCTTTAAGCTACAAGGATAGATTGTTCTCATTCTGCTGTCCATGTCTAAATACATCATATCTTGTTCTTTTTTTTTAGTACTGCTTAGTTATTGTTCACTCCATTTCCACCAAGTCTGACTAGTGGATTGGTTGGTGAATTTGTTAATTCTATATTACTTCACCAAGTCGTACAGACTCACTCAGTTGAAACAAAGTTAGTAATTACTGAACAATACTAAAAAAAAAAAAACATATCCCTAGATACAATCAAAAGAGTGATAACAATCTCACTCCATAGATTAAAAAAAGGGTTCAATTTTAAATTCCCCAGAGGTTAGTCAAATTAACAAATACCTGAAAACAGAGGGCACAATGGCCAAAACACTGTGATAACAACAATCAAGATGAGGATATTAGTTCAAATGTAAATATTGATAACTCCTCATCCCAGAATTTCAGAAAGAAAGAATAGTCAAATTGAATAATTAATAATGCTTTGTCTGTTAAACTGGAATGATATTACAATTAAGTCTTATTTTTTCATTACATTTTATCGTTTTATAACTGAATAAAACTTCTTTGTATTTTTAGCATTATAAAAACAAACAGAAATAATTATATATGCTTGATATATAATTGAATCTTTTGCTATAAGAATCAGTCTCACTATATCATTACAAACAAGAGCTGTTGTTCAATACATGTCTTATTATTTTGTTTGTTATAGACTTCTTTGCGGCATGAGGATGGAAATGATGGACTTGAGATCAGTCAAATGGAGAATTTGAGGTGTGTTAACAAATATAATCTTTCAAAACTTAATATTTTTGTGTAAATTCAAATTCTTTCAGATATGTGTGTATATAAAAAAAAAAACTGGGATTATCTAAATCTGGCAAATAGTATCCTTATTTAAAACTGATTTTAAAAAGTCTTTGAATAAATCAGTTTTTGAATTGGACTTAGTTTGCAGTTATTGTCCTGTTTGTAATTTCATATCTTAAATATTTTTTTTTTTTTTTTGTCATTATCAAAAATTTTGTAAAAACTACTTCAGTTTTCTAAACTTTGTTGTTTTGTGCTCTTTTCATTCACTAGCTGAAGTTCAAGTATTTTGTATATGCCTATTTTCAGGTTAACTCCACGTGTACCATGTGATGAGGAAAGGAAGAGTCGAAGATATTCTTCTTCACGGGGCATCAAATTTGCTATACCTGAATCTGCCTTGAACAAGATGAAGGGAGCCGAGGAATACAAACAGAAGAAGATGAAGGAAATGCAGTAATTATTCCCCATTCAATTTTTTTTATTATCAATTAATTTTCTCATTGCTTGAATTGTACACTCAATTCTTGACTTGAAAAATTCCTGTTTTAGGTAATGATCTATACAACATAAGATATTTTCTTACTTTCTGAAAATCATTTGTTTCTTGTGTACAGTAGACTAGAATTCAGGCATAAACATTGTGAAGTCAAAATCAGTGTTTGACTTTCCCAAGATTTTCTCCTTTTCTGTCATGACATTTTCCTCCTAAATAAAATTACTTAAAACAATAAATTATTGGACGAAATTTTGATCTGAAATGTCCAGTGTATAATGTTTGATCTATATGATTAATATTCCCTGTTGAATTAATCTTTATAAATGCTCTTATGTTAAAAAAGTAACTAAATACTTTTGTTATTTTCCAAAATGGTATACAAATAAATAAAAGCTAAAAGGAACAGTTACTTTTTTCTCCTCCTCCTCCTCTCCTGGATCCTGTATAATGCAAAGGTTTTTCATTTTTGCTTTTTTATTTTATTACCACATTGTACTATGATTGGAAAAGTAAACAGCATGAATTGGAAATTAAAAAAAGTAGCCTGTGACAAAATTTGAACTTGCATCCTATTTAAAATCCCATCAGATCTTCCATTTTTACTTTCTCATTCACAAGACTGCTCATTAAGTTATAGCATGTAATGATCTGGAGGACTGAAATAACACTGGTCAAAAATGAATAATGAAAATATCAAATAACTTTGACTGTATCATTTATTTCATAAGAATCAGAGTTATCTAAAGATATAAGCTTTTTAAAAAGTTATCAATAATTATTCTGTATCTTTTTACATGTGCAATTTTTCATTTGCCTTCAGAAATATTCGTATTGCACCAGAAGATGCTCCTGAAGAAGATCTGGCCTCTATTTACCATGCCAAAAAGATGCAAAAAGAAATGGAACAGCAGAAGAAACGCCAAACCACTGATCAGAAACCATCTTCTCTTTGTAAGTTCCTAAATTTTTATAAAAAAAAAAAAAACGTAATGGATTGGGTTGAAGGGTTTTTGTTATCACAATTGATTTACATGCAACATTCCTTTGTGTTTCAATGTCTTTATTATTCATTAATTACTACAATGTCTTTTACTTTTTTTTATGTCACCTAAAGAAACATCTTCCATTTATGTTTGTTTTTTTGTTTATGCTGATAAATTGAACTTGCCTGCTACAGTTTTGATTTAATTTAAACCGCTGGGAAGGACAACTGCACATACTTTGTATAGAGAATATTCCTCTGCTTTTGGTTTTGATCAGTTAAATTGCACAACTCACTTTGCCATATTCTTTGTTTAGTAAAATATTGTAGACCCTGACTTTATTTCTTGGGATTTATTCAGCTAAGATTATGACAATACACATGACACATAGTTTGAATATCAAATAGCCAATCTTATTCCCAAACAAGATAACAAAACATTTTTTCAGTTTCTTGCAAATGAAGCCACTTTCCTTTTGACTACACTACTCCCATTATTTGTTGTTAATAAACAGTTGTGATTTTGTTTAAATAATAAGTCATATTTCATTTATCTATTCAGTTTTGTGATATTAAAAGATGCACCAGACATTTGTGGTCTACCTTTTAAAGATTTAGGTTTAAGGGCTTTTTTTATACAGAATTTGTAAAATAAATCTTATTGAAAATAAATTTATTGTTCATGGCATTCATATTGTACAGAAAGATTTCCTATTTTTTATGCATTTAAAATAAGTCTCAAGAGATAAAAATTGTTTCACCAAAAAAAATCATTATTTGAAAGAAATTGCATAAATTATATTTGCTTGACTGCTGAGGTAGTATATTTTCAACCAACACTAATGGTCAGCCCAGATAAATGACAAGATTCTGATTTCTCATTTACAAAGCAAGTGGAACCTACTCATTTAGAAAAAAAACAAAATTTTTCTACTCATATTTCCATATGACAATGCTATATTCTGGCCTTTCCTTTATTTCTTATATATATGCCTGTAATATAAATATTATGCTGTTCAACTTGTTTCATAATAAGAAAATTTCCTATGACATTACTTTTTTAAAAATTGGCCAAAAATCTAAGTCTCTTTGGGTAAAATATTTTAAAAATATAATTATTTGTTAGATATTAAGTTTAATTCTTTATTTATTGCATAAACTTCTAAAAGTTTTTATTGCATTTGGTGTTATGCATTTCTCAAACCTAAAAATTGTGGGTCATTCATTTGCCAGCCTCTGTTTCTCTTTCTATAAAGATTTCCCTTTTTATCCAACCCACAAATTTTTAATTATGCTTCTTTTTTATTAATGCTGATTTATTCTGCTTGTATCTTTTCTGGATCCACCATTCACTTTAATGCTAACAAAATAATCCTGAATATCCTCAACACCTTGAAAAATAGTTGACTCTCTGTTTATCTGTTAAAATGAAGTCTTTTACATTATTTTACTAGTTTAAAGAAAAAGTTTGTTATTAAAATAATTTGTTTTTATTGTTTAAATAAAATGTAGGCTGGATAAAGGAGATTGAAATTAAATTTAAATCTAAATTAATTTCTTTTAAGAGGAAACTGATTTCAGTAGAAGGTAAAAAAAATCCAGAAAATTTACACTGACCTTCGCCTAATGCCACAAAAATGTTTGAATACAAATATACATGTAACTTATTGTAGATTTTTAATCTAAAATGATTAAATATATTATAAGCATTCTGATTATTAAAAGGTTGCAGAAGCAGCTTAACCCTATGAGATGGATTCTGTTTAAACATCTCTGGGAATTGTAATTTTATCATTGCTATAAGAAATATTATTTTTGCTATGAAATTCAATATTAATATCTTTTATTAACAATAAACTCTAACACAAAAGGAAATGACAATAAACATTGTGGCCCATATAAATATTGCTATACCAGCTAATTATATATAAATATATATACTTAGCAATGATAATCCATAGAGGCTGAACTTTTAAACTTGCTTATTGATTCAAAATCTCAAAATAAATAAACCCTGAATTCTTTTTATACAGCATCTTTATTATTTTGTTTATTTTGGGGTTTTTTTTTTTTGGTTGTGTTTTTGTTTTTTTGTTTTTTTTTGTTTTTTTTTTTTTTTTTTTTTTTTTTGGGGTGCTATTAAGCAGTGATATAACAGATTCACTTACCTGTTCATAGTCTCTTAGTGATAGTTCTTATTCAAGACATGCTTATCACATTCACATTTGCTCCTTTCTTCTTTAAAATTTGTCAATCTCTTGCTACTTATTTTTTTTTCACTTCATATTAAATAAGTTGGATTTAACAAATAGATGTAAAGTTCTTATTTAAACAATAACCAATTCTGGAAACAATCTTGCTTTGCAAAAATATCTTGGATGTTCAACTAATATAAATTCTCTAACTTGCTTTCATTTAAGATTATAAAACTTTTTGAAAAGTTGAGAGAGAAATGACTTCTTAACATAAATTTATATGTACATGCTATTTGTGTGTAGATAAGGTTGTGATAAATAATTCTAAATTTATATTTGTTGATCAATCCAAATTTGCCAAACAAGTTTTATTCTGATTTTTATATTTCTTGTTGACAATTTCATTTAGAATTTTTCTGTACTAAATACAAGTTTTGATTGTTACCTGATTAGAATAACTTGTCATGCAAATGTGATTGCGGGCTTAATCTTGTTTTGACAGAATTGAAAGTTTTAAAATAACAAGAAAGAAAAAAAAAAAAAACACTCATTTATTTCTGAAAAAAAAAATTTCTTCAGTCTTGCTGGAGTTTTATTTACTTGAAGATGTATTTTAGGTGTTGCCTGAAAATGTCCTAATTTTCCTCTGACCCCTTAGTGACAATTGCAGAAAATGTGCAGGAAGAAATTCTACTCTAAAGTTGTCATGATATTCAGTAAATAATATTTTCTGTAATTGTTTATAAATTCCTTAGAGTAAGATACTTCTTTTATTTCAACTTCTGCCCTTTCATTCTTTTTCAATGGCACCTAATATTTGGCTCCTCCTCATATAAGAATCTAACTTATTATCCTTTGTCATTAAAAACACGAGAATTAATGGTAACTTGCTTGTTGTAATCCAGCCTGGAACTTTCGATTCAAATTGCTTTTGTGTACCTTTTTGTGAATTTGCCTTCTCGTATTTTTGCCAATGACATTCAAGGGAAGGTATTTGTCTATGAAAAATTCCAAACTGTTGAAAATTGTGCAACTCCACTTTGCAAAAGCAGATATTTAGGCTTTGTTCAGAAAGACTTAGAAATATGTTAGCTGCTTTTGTCAATAATGACATTAACAAAATCTAGACATTAGATTAATACAGCTCACTGGTAAAACAAAGCACTAATATTTGGCTGGTAATTTTCATTATTTCTCTCACAAAAAATACTCTGATTCTAACAATAAGTTTTATGATTGCCAAATCTGTCAGGGTCCATATGGCATAAAAGACTTCAAGAAAGGATATTTTGGGTCTTTTCTTTTTTTTTTCTGCAAGTTGTTGGTATCACTTATACAACAAACTTTGAAACCTCAGTATTTCCTTAAGTATCTTTTAAATATCAGTAAAGATTTTTACTAAAATTACATATGTACTTTTCATGAGTTTTTGACAGCATTAATATTCCTTTTGAGGTTATTACAAATAATTTAAGCACAAATCTCGGTCATTGCAAAAAACCAGTTTAAATATGATTCAATAAGTTAATCACATCTTGCCCCCCCAAGTCCTTACATACACACACACACACCTTGATTTGAGCAACCGCCTCCTTTTTATTTAATGTTTTATTGCTTTAAAAATGATCATTATAAAGGGTTAAGCATTACTTTTTTAGTTCCTGTCAAAATTCAGTTTTTGTATTTAGTTTTCTACACCCTCAAAAGGAATATATGATACTGTAATATTTTTAATTACCTATTTTTAATAAAGGAAAAGTTAAAGATGAAACCAAATTTATAATCAGAATAAAGTAAATTAAATGTTATACTTCTCTTGAATGTCACCTGCTTGCCTAGCTTTCATCGTTGATCTTTTTCTGTGCCTCAGACTCAGTGAGTCTCTCCAAGGGTAAAACTACTGCTGCTTGTAGCCTTCATTGCCCAACCAAGTTAACATCTTTGTTATTTGTGTATGTGTCTGCTGTGTGCTTTTCTTTGTTTAACCATTTTACTACCTCATGTTTGACCCCTGCAGATATCAGTGCACTGCAAAAGCGACAGGAACGACGGCAACGTCAGCGTTCTTTAATAAAAGAGCAGGAGGCAAAAGGAGATGGAGCTTCAGGCCCTGGTGGCTGGCTTAATACAATAATTCGTAGATTCTCTGCTCCTCCTCCTCCAACTACTACTCCCTCTACACCTACAGACACCACCATCACCACCACTCCTATTGAGGAGGAGAAGACCACTGATTGGTCAAAGCTCCCAAATAACCTTAGTAAACCAGAAAGTTTGGCTGGTAAGCTATTAGTAACTAACTGAGACTCCTGTTATTACTACATTTACTATTACTACTACTACTAATAATGATGATATTTATGGTCTTTGTTACTTTTATTCCTGTAATTTTCTTTAAGTAAACTTTCATTATTTCCACCTTAGTGCAACTATCACTTCTTTGCATTAGATTTGCATATCTGCCTGATTTCTTTTTTTTTAAACAGCACCAATTCATAATGGGAATGTTAATTCATCTCTTTCATTTCCACTTCTCTTTTGCACAAATCTAAAATGACTTATTATATCAGAAGGCCTGTCAATAAGAATGGTCTTTAGTCATGTCATCTTTGCCTCTCAATCTATGCAAATTGGGACATTAAATGGAAGGCCTGCACATTGAAAAGTTTTTGCATAACCAACAATAAGGATTAATATGATCTGCTTCACCCAGCCCCACACAACTGAAAATCATTCAAGAATTTGAATTATTTGGTTGTAAAGCACCATAATCAATACATGAAAGAATTGGTCAAATAAAACATCTGCAATGTTTCTTTAATATGAAGGACAAAATCTTTAAATAATGTTGGAGATCATCAAAAATTGATAGTCTGTTTCAATAATTCTTAACAGAAAGTTTTCATATCTCTGAAAGAGCCTTTGTTGCACTTTTGAAATTGAATTCAATTCATGAGAGGAGGAATCTTGTTTTGTGTAGAATCAACAAGACATCCAAAGAGATGAAATTTGCTTTCTCTTAGCTTCACTGAATCCTGTTTGGTTGAAAAGCAGTAACCTTCCTTAATGCTTTTCTTGCACAAAAAAGAACTATGTATATTTCCTGTTGAACTTGTTTCCCCAAGAATGATGAATCAACTACAAAGAGCCATTAAAGTGTGTGCATTTGTGTGAAATTAAATGTTTTACAATAAAGCTAAATTCCTCAGGTAAAGCACTGAAGTGCAAAAATGTTAAAAACTTTTATTTATAATGGCCTTATGATGCAACATCTGAAAAAAGCTGTCTTGTCTCTCCTATCCACTTTAACGTTGTGTATGAGGAGGAGATAGCAAAAGATAGATTGGAAAGAACAAGAGACAACAAATCTTGTGGAATCATGAAAACAGAAAGACTTACTTTGAAGTTCAAAGTGAAATTTACAAAGTCTTTGGTTTGGAGTATTACATCATACAGCTGTGAAAGGTGGAACTTAAGATAGAAGGATGTAAAGATGGTTAACATTATTGAGTAGTGGTTGTAGAGAAGGTTTGGGGACACAAACCAGAGTGGCAAGGACTTTTGGTGAGGATTAAAAGAAACTGAGAATATACAGTTATTGGAAACTAAGGGCAAAGTCTTTATGAAGGGACAAAAATTGTGGAGACAATGTCAATGTATAGATACCATCAAAAGGTAAAGTAATAGAATAAACAATAGCTGGAAGAAAGGCCATCAAGAAAGACAAAGCTTTCACTGAAGGGCTATGGCATGCTAACAACAAAACAAAGCACAGTTTTATCTGTATGGTTAGGACTTTAACAAAATATTATTCCACTAATTCATCTCTTTTAGACCCCACCTGATGAAAAGTTTCAAATAATACTATGGAAGTAGAATATATCTGATATGGTTTGTAGTGGATACTTTTTTCTTTTTTTAACACAATTTTATCTTTAACTTTCTTTTTGCAACATCCTTTTTCATTAAATAAAATGGTTTTTCTCTTTATCTGACTCTGATCTTGTGTCGAGTGCTTGGAAGTTAGTACTTGAGAAAATATTTCTGCAAGTGAGTAAAGATTGTTGAGAAAAGAAATGATGGGCAGTTTTTGGCCAAACACATTATGTGTGTTCAACTGGTTTCCTGAAACTGAAAATGTTGAATTTTGCCCTTCCTTCTTCTTCATCCTCTTAGACATTATGAGAAGATATTTTAAATAAAAATTGTTTTCTTTGCCCTGGTGAACTATAATTATGACTTGTAGAGCATACTACTTTTCTCTTTGCTTGAATTTCATTTGACAAATGCATATTCCTTCAACATTCAGAACCAAAGACTAACACACACAAACACTGTCCAATCTTTTATTATATAAGTCTGTTTTCACAATAAAAATTGGTATTAACCAACAGATATTTCTAAAATTTTCAGAATAGATGATAAATATAGAATGTGAATTTCATCTTAGAACTTTTTTTTTTATTAAAAGTATTTAAAATAACTTCTTTGATGCTATGAGATTTTATGCAATTTCAAAGTTGTTCATTATATTGTAAATAAATCTATATGATAGTAAAATTATATAGATATTTATTTTTGTTATGTTTATATAAAGCTTGCCTTGGGTTATAAGAAAGATATAACCTCAAAAGATTTTTAACCATCAATAAAAACTGACATATAATATTAATTCCTGTTCTTTTATTGTTCTCTCTGCTTTTTTTTCTTCTCATATTCTCTCAGACTCCCTAACCCCTTGTGTCTTAGTGGTTTTATTGTTTTGCGTGAGGTGGAATGATTTTAAAAAAATATTAAAGTTTAAACAGAAAAGTGAACAAAATCAATGGATGAAATACTGATGAAGATTTGAAAATGTCAGGAACCTATATTATCATGTCAAATAATATTAAAAAATATGATATATTGTATGAATGAAGTTTATATCTTCTGGATTTATTTATAAATGAACATTTAAGTTGCACTTAGATTGTTTGCATTACAAAAGCTAACACTGCTATCAATATTTTTAATAAGGATTTTATTTATATATATATATATATATATATATATATATATATATATACACACACATAGTTTTAAAAACAAGGAATGCATTGATTTTAATTTTAAAAGTCTCTAGGGCCCTTTCAGCCAACATCTCATCAGGAGACAATCGTTGGATTAGCGAAAAGAATATTAACGATAATGAAGAGCAAAAAGAGGGGGAAACACATTAAAATAACAAACAAGTATATATACTTGTAACGAGGGGAGGGGAAATAATCGTGTAAATAAATTAGCGAGGACAGTTAAAATAAAATATCCCCAACAGATTAAGAGACTTTACAAATTCTTTCTGCCGGCAGAGGTTTCCTTAATCCTATACAGACCGATTCCAAAATCTTCAAATGATTGTTGAATCGGCTGTATGAATAATTTTAAACCACTCTTTTTAAACAACTTGGCGCAGGCTATATTCTCAACTAAATGTTGAGCAATAGCGATTCCATATTCATGGGGGAAGATAGCATATTCTATCTATCTTACCAAGTCATATTTTGAAGGTAATGCGTGCTGATTGATTCTAGTTTCCAAATGCAAGGTTGTATGCCCCACATAACCAGCAGCACACTGGCAATTAAATTCATATACTGAATTACTCAATTTGATGTAGGGCAATACATCCTTGCGAAAAAGACGGAAACGCAGACCTTTGTTCAAAAATGCTATGTAAAAGCAACTGATGGGAAACAACCGAAACAGACTTGCTAACCTGCTTAATTAAGCCCTGACCCCTATCCCCAATCCAGGGAATCTTCAAATAAACCGGACATTTAGAAGGCCCCTGGATTTTAGGGGAATGAAATTCCTTAGTCTTCTTACTAATAATATAGTCAATAAGGGCCTCCGGATAGCCGTTACTAAGGAAAATCTCCCTAATGTTCTCAAATTCACGGTCCAATCTAATAGGAGAACAAATTTTAAGTGCTCTATACACCAAGGTTTTAACAAGATTGATTTTCCTTGATGCAGGAGCAAATGAATGCCAATTCAAATAAAGACCCGTAAAGGTGGGTTTACGATAGATGCTAGTAATAAAACCACCTCTACAGCGTTCAACAAAAACGTCCAAAAAGAGCAGACAGTTGTCCTTCTCCCCTTCCATAGTGAAAGACAAACCATTGTGTAAGGAGTTGAGCTCATTAAAGAGCTCAACAGCCTCACTTTCATTAGAGAAAGTTGCAAAAGTGTCATCGACATATCTAACGTAAACAAACGGTTTAGACACTTTGCCGAAAAGTAACATCTCATGGTAGCCCACAAAAATATCAGCCAATGCAGGGCCAAGAGGACTGCCCATCTGGACCCCATCCACTTGACTATACATAATATTGTCAAAACTGAACTCCACCGAACTAGTACATAGTATCATAAGTTCTATAAATATATCCTTAGGAAAAGGAGGTGGAGCAATGTTACCTAGTATAAAAAGTCTGCACAGATATTAATAGTTTCCCTCAATGGTACATTGGTAAATAGACTGGACACATCAAAAGAACACATAAAATCAGTATCAGGGCAAGACTGTATGGCCTGTAGGCGTTCAACAAACGTGAACGAATCAGGTATACAATGTTTAGCAAAAAATGTTTGGACCGGTTGTATGACCTGCAGAAGCCATTGAGCCAGAGAATGTTGGGATGAACCAATCATTGAAAGTATTGATCTCAATGGAACGTCCTTCTTATGAACTTTAGGAAGGACCATAAAGCCTTGGTCTAAGGGAACCAGAAGGTCTAATCCTGTCATAAGTCTCCTTAGAAAAGTAACCTTTTCTAAACAAGTATAATAGACGTTTCTGAATTTTAATTTCATTTCTGTACGTGTTGTCACAAGTTTCAACTGGACCAATTTTTTTGAACTTTTCTGAATCATTCAAAATAATCAACATCTTTTGGATGTAATCTACCCGGTCCAGTAGAACAACACCAGCACCCTTGTCCGGTTTACAAATATAAATATCATTATTAGATTTCAATGATTTAACAATACATATATATACACACACACACACACACACACACAGGAGTAACTGAAGGACCCTGGAAACAATGCACACAAAACATCCTTTACAAATAGTAAATACACAAACAACACAATGCTTTCTAAACATATCTGGGAGATTAAAAATAAAAAAAACAAATCACACCAAAAATCATGGAAAATAAGGAAAAGAAGATCAGCCTTCAACACTCAATCCAAAAACTGTAAACTCTGCCTGGTGGAGGAAATAGCTCTAATTACCTTCCCAGATGAAAACAAACTACTAAATAAACAGATCAGAACTCATCCCAAAATGCAGTCACAAAAACAGTCTTTTGCTATGTTACTTAAAAATTGAAAACAAACAAGAACAAGCAAAAATAAATAAACAAAAACAAGTAAAATAATGCAAACAAACAAATAAATAAGTAAATAAACTAAATAAATAATAAACAAATTCACAAACCACATACATAAGATAAACACTGGAAAATGCAGTAATAACAAAATTGTGTTTAGCATGAAACAGACTGTCACCTCTGGATGTTTTCAGTATCCACTTTTATATTTAATATCATACATTAGTCCTTCTACTTTGAATAAAATATGGGAAATGCTGCTTGGGTGAGGCCAGCTCCCTGGAACTGAACAGATTTATACTATTTTTAACCTTGATTGGGGTTCTGATGATTATGAACTCAGATCTACACAGAACCCTTTACCCATAAACTGGCATGCCTCTAGGGTTTTGCATATTTACATATTCATACAAATATCTGTATGTGCACTTAGACATATTTATCTCTTTGCTCATTAATTCCTGAATATTGATATGCATGCAAAAATTCAAATCATGAGAAAACAAGTTTTTGTTTTATCATTCTCAATTAAGTCATAATGAAATTTTTGAAATAAAGTCTCCCAACCTTTTGTTCGCTGGATCTATTATGGAAATGTTATATATATGTTATGTTATGGAAATGTATAAAGCTTTTGCTTGTTACTGATATTTAGTTAGACATTTTTCTCCTATCTTTAAAAATTTCACATTGATAATATTTAATTTGTATATTGATTGAAAATCAAAATAGTTGTTCATTTTACAATTCTTGTCTGGATATTTTTTGCAGAACTTAAATTTAAAAATATTTCACTCTTGTTGTGTTTAGAATGAAAAGTTTCTTCTATCTTGTAATATTTTCCCTTTTAGATTGGGTCAAAAGATACAGAAATAGGGAGAAAAGCATCATGAAGTATGTAATTCTAAAAAAAATGTTAAAGACCTATTCTTTATAAGTGAGCAATACAAGTTGTTTTTCTCTTGTTTAACTAATATTATATAAATGTCATGAAAAACAATAAATCTGACTTAGACTGTCTTTTTTTTTTCTTGCTATTTTTTCCAACATACCTAGCAGGTTTGAATGTTGGAAATCCAGATTCTTGAATACTTCTCTATCATGCTTATTTGCATTCAAGCATGCAAATGCAACTTACTCAACACTTTCTCTTCGGACACAGCACAAATGCTTTTTGCATGGAAAATAAAACAAGACTATAAGTAATATTGATCAGATCTGTTGCATGAAGTTGTTTCTGACATGTTATCAAATTATTTTTCTCATTTGCTGGAGAGAAAAAATATTTTTATGCCTGAAAAGTTTCTTCTATCTTGTAATATTATTTAACAACAGGTTCTTGTATTCACTTTTACTTGAACTATTGTCTTTTTATTGTTAGAATATCATTTATCATTAAACACATTTAAGTATTGTGTTTTTGTTATTAGGATTCCAGATGTTTATTTTATGATTATATTTCATTATTTTTTCTCATTGTCTCTTTTTTTTTTTTTATCCTCTTGTTAATTTTATCCTTCTCAATATTATAAAAATTTATTTCTTGTCACTTTTTAGAAGTACTAACTTTTTTTGTAATTTTTAATAGAAATATCAAATCATTGCATAAAACTATGTTCATTGTTGCATTCATACTTATTTTCAATTCGCAATAATCCAGTTTATATTTGTGAACAAAATAATTCTTTTACTTACAGCCATCTGTTTCTTTTATAGAATGTAGTCATAAATATGAAAAGACAGTTGAATCACAGAAGTGATGACAAAGTGATTTTTATTCATCAATGAAATCCATAATGTATTTCTAATTGTAATTTCTTTCTAATTATTAAATTTACATTCTCTTTTTAAATTAAAGGTGTTTTTTGAGGGAGGGGGGTTATTGCTTAAAATATTTTGAGGAAATTTTCTTTAATAAATGTCTTAAAATGAAACAATTATCTACTCAGTAAAACTTTAAACAAGAATTGCATAGTAAATAAGTATTTATCATTTCTAAATAAAAGTAGGCATATATAACAAAAGATATTAAAAAAAAAAACAAAAAAAAACGATCTGCATGTAAGCTGAAAATTATTATAGAAAAGGTTTCAAAAGGATAAAATCTGTAGAAAAGAATAAATTTAAAAGGTTTTTCTTTCTTCTAACTGAACACAAGCTTACAAGTTTCAAGATACAGCCAAGCACCAAAAGATTGTTACTTTGGAACAATTATCTCAAGTTTTCTTTTTGCAACAGAAACAATAAATTCTGTTTTTGTGTTATCAAACAAAAAATTGTACAAAATGGTGGTAGCCAGTTTTAATGTTTATGTCAACCTTACACTTGAAGAAATAACAATAATATTCTAATTATATTTCCTTCAAAGAATACATTGTCTTAAAAGAATGCTAATCTTTTTTTCTTTTTTTCTTTTTTTTTTTAACCCTCATTCTTTACAGTTGACAATCTTGTGGAACAAGACAAGAAAGAGAACTTGTCTCCAATCCAGAAATGGCGGGAGGCCAAAATGGGTACTGGAGTGTATGATAGCTTGATTAACAGGGAGGAAGGAATTGATGATGAGATCTGGAGGAACAATCTGAACATTCAAGGCAAGGGTGAGATAGAAGCACTGTCTGTTGAAGCAAGTCCAAATAAACCTCGAATGGTTGGCTATAGATCTCAACAACAACAGCAGCTGCAACAACAATTGCAAGAACAACAAGATCTATTGAAGCTGCAACAGCAACAAGAAAAACAACAGTTGCAGCAGCAGCAGTTGCAACAACAACAAAAGTTGCAACAGCAGCAGCACTTGCAACAACAACAGCTGCAGCAACAGCAGAAAATTTACCTACAAAAACAGCAGCAGCTGATTCAACAACGCAGAGAGCAAGAACAGGCAGATCTAATGGAGGAAAAAGCTATCAACAGCATCCGACAACGGTTCAAGCCAAAGCCTGAGGAGACACCAGTTACTCCTGAGCCAAGCACTGCACAAATTGATAAGCCAGGAGTTTTCAGCAAGAAAATGGAGGACACTAGCCAGAAGGCAGTGGTAGTACCAGCTCCAGCTCCAGCTCCAGCTCCAGCCCCTGCACCGGCCCCACCTAAGTTACCAGAGATCCCAAAGGTTGAGCCAAAAAAGACAGAAGGGGACATTGAGTGGGAGAAAATCCACAAGCGCCTCTGCCGGCCACTTCGGATTAAGAACATGGACTTCTCAGATCTGAAACCTGATGAAGATATGGACATTTTTGCAACTCCACCAGCCCCTGCTGGAGTGCCACCTCCACCGCCACCACCCCCAGGTGGCATGCCTCCACCACCACCTCCTCCTCCGGGAGGCATGCCACCACCACCACCACCTCCTGGCATGCCTCCTCCACCTCCACCTATGATGGCAGGTGGTATGCCTCCACCCCCTCCACCACCCATGGGAATCCATCCATCTCCACCCCCTACCACCATTAAGAAAAACAAAAAGACCCTCAAGCTTCATTGGAAACCATTACAAAATCATATCCCTCACCCTGTCACAAAAGGTGAAACCATCTGGAATAAGCTTGCACCAATTAAAATTGACACTCAGAAACTTGAACATTTGTTTGAATCCAGAACCAGTGAACTCAAGCAAAAGGTGAAATTTGATTTTTTATTTAATATTAATTTACTCTTACTACCACAAGATCCATTCATTTTATTGTTTTTGTTTTGTGCTTTTAACTTGAAAAATATTGTTTTTTATGCCTAAAATTTACTAATATAGCTCAATATTACATTACAACCTTTGACTGTTGGGTTGATGGTTATATTTGCTGTGACTTTTTCAGACATTTGCTATTGTAGTCATTTATTCTTATGAATAATGTCGCACTAATCAAGGAGTACTTTACACTAATTATTAAAGGAGAAAATTCATCTCAGAATGCCTTGTCCAGCAGACAATTTTAAAATGCAAACATTGAAAGTAGCTTTAAAAAATCAATTGGTAGGCACTCAACACTTGATTAATGATTTTAAAAATTTGATTTACAATCCAAAGTATTTTAACCAAGACATTTCACTTTTCCCGTTCCACAATATAAATGACAAGTCAATTATAAATTTCAAAGAATTCATTCTAAAACCTGTGGAATTGGATTTCTTCAGGGCATATGAAAACCAGGTTAATCCTAACTAAAACTTGTCTTTCATCAAATGTTCCAATTGACTCTGACATCAAGAAGATACAGACTAGATTTTTATTTCTGCCTTTTACATTAACCATTTATATGTTTAGAATTTATTTAAACAATGCTTCCAAATTTCAATACCTTTGTTCCATTTTATTCTTTTTATAAATCATAATGTCCTGAAGTTGAAGTTAATGAAGATTCAAAGATTATGGAAAGGGTTTATTAAATATTAATTACCAAGAAGCATGTATTTTTTAAAGTTATCATTATTTTCTTCCATTGAATATTATGTTAACAAAGCCCAAAATATTGGGTGCCTATATGATTTTGTTTCAAGAAGACACTTGAAATGACTTCTTGAACTTTTGTTGGCTTTTATGTTAAGGCCCTGGCTGTGTTTATAGTTTGAACCTAGAAATGATCAGCTAAATTTTGGCTGTTTACATAAAGAAGAGCCAAAATGATTAAATGAAAATTACTAAGAAATTTTTACATCATGAAATATTCCATGCTTCCCTTTTTAGAAGCTTGATATCTGCTAACACTCCATTATGGACAATTTTGAGATCCCTTTGTTAGTCAAGTGTGTAAATATCCCATTATCTTCCATAACACCCCAACATTTTTGTGATGTTTTTGTTGTGTTTTATTAATCTGCACTTTGATTTCTGTTTTCAGTCCCACTTTTGTTTTCTTCTATTTTTGTTGCCCATCACAATGAATATTTGTTTTTTTGGTTTCCTTAATGCAGCAGTTCAAAATTCTCATGCTACTTACTCCATTTTGTCTATAAGTAACAGCAACAATGTTCTATACATTTACTACTAAAAGAAAAACCTACTTTCTGTCACAATGCATTGTTATTTATTGTTTCCTACTTTTTTCCTCATCATGCTGAGATTGTTCCTCTAAGACATTTGACCAAGAAATCATCATTTGAGTTGATAATTGATTTTCCTTTTGGAAATGTTATGGATTTTGACCATGAATCCTTTTCAAAAAAGAAAAAAAACAAATTCTGATTCTGTATAATAGTTGCATCTACTTTGCTGAATCTCCATCTCAAACCACTGATGGTAACTTTATTCATCAGTGGACGCTCTGGATAAATTAGTGATTGGCTGTAAGCATAATGTTCACTAATAAAATTCTGTATACATATGAAGGTGTGGATAAATTTAAAAATTAATCTAAGAAGAAAGTCTTAGGCTCTTGACTCAACTGTTTTATCCTTGTGAGTGGTCACCTACCAAAATTCCTGTTTTAATTACTTCCAACAAAACTTTTGCTTACCAAATCTTTTCTTTCTAAACAAGTGACTTTTTTCTTTGGGCTTTTTTAAGCATATTCATTCAAGCTGTCTTATAAGAATGAAAAAAGGAAACTCCTGTTCACTTATCAAAGCATATATTTAGTGTAATACAATTCCCATTGGTATCAATATATTAAACATAATTTCCTGTTTCTTAAGTATCCAATGAATTCCAAGAGATTTTCAGATCATCAGATTCATTTCATTGTTGCTTTTATTGTTACTACAATGTTTTAACCAGTACATCCATAAGGAAAAAAGAAATAGGGGAAGAGGTGACCACAGCAACACAAAATACACTAACTGAATAAATGGATGGAAAATAATAAGAGTAAATTTGTTTAATTATCCCATAAGAAGTAATGAACAAAAAGTTATTTTTTAAGTGTATATGTTTGTTTATTTACTACACCTTGTCTAGTATAAAGGCTTCACTGCAGCAGTAATTGTGTTTGAAACTAGTCTGTTAACCACTTCTCCATGGTGAGATGCCCATATTATTACTCAGCTTAGTATAATTTGTCATAAGGCCACATTTTTGGAGTGCTCAATGAACTTACTGAAATTGTAATGGTTTGCATGACTAACTTGATAACCAATGCTCCATGGAAAGATATCCTTTATTTCACCAAACTTTTCCAACACAAAAGAAAATGTCATTACATAGGCAAAAGTTAAGTATATTACTGATGCTATTAACTACTATTTCCAATTCTGTTCTACACAGACATCACTTTAATGATCTATTGTATCAGGAAAACAAGATAAATTGAATTTCATGTTCCCTGTCAAAATTATTCAAAGAAAACAATCTGGAATATGTATTGTTGATTTGCAAGTTAAGCAATCTTGTTTATATGATTGTTTTCTCTTCAAATGCAACAGAAATTTCAATGAGAACCTGCATTCATTTGATTGGCATTAGTGACAAGTTTTTGCTTTCATTTTCATTCTTTTTTTTTCTTATTTTTTATTTCTTTTTTTTTTCTTATTTTTTTTTTCTTATTTTTTTTTTCTTATTTTTTTTTTCTTATGTTTTTTCTTTTTTCAACTCATGTTTTCCTACCAAAACCTAATACGCTTTATTTACACATTATTTTTTTTCTTTTGTGTATATATGTCCTGCTCAATTGTTGGATTTTACTGCATGATTGCATGTGCCCCCACCAACTCTTAGGATGCTGAACTAGGTGTAAGTCACTATACATTTATATATTTACTGACTTACTACTTTACTCATTTTCCTAACCCTGCCAACTTATCATATAGATCTATGTGCATGTAAATATGAATTTAATTATTTGACATTAATCTTTGCCTACTTAGTTTTTATCTTCTAAATTTGCTAATCAGATTTTAATTAACAATATTTTTTTCTTTCATTTAAGAAATTTTGTTAATCTGATTATATCAAATGATACTTAATTTGTTTTTTTTACCTGTTTTGTAGATTCACTTTATTTATAACTGTCATATTTTCCTAGGAGGAGGGATTTATTTTGTATTTCAATTGATGTTAACATTATTATTGCAAAACCAAGACATTGATATTTCTACTTTTTAAAGAAAAATATATATTAATCTCTTCCCAACATAAGTATGGCCATGTCAAAAATAACTAAAGAAACAATGGCTTTTATTGTAATTGTAACCATTTTTTAAAAATTCCTTTTGGGATAGACTACAAATATTTATTTTCTGGTTAAATATTTATTTTGTGTTTCATAATTTAAATATCTTTATTAGCAGAGGCTAATAATTCTGTAATAATTAGCAACTTTGTAGTATGTTAAATGATTGTAATTCTTTCTCTCTTTTCTGCCCAACATCTACAGCTGATGAATTAATGAGATTCCAATTTATTTTGCATGGATTTCTCAGAACAATTTCCTTTCCTTTTTTTTTGTTTTTGTGTGTGTGTGTGTGTGCAATTATGGTTTGGTTTTAAAAAGTAATTTGCAAAATAAAATTCCTCGCATGAGTTTTTCAAATCCTGTAGAAAATTTTTGTTAATTGCTATTAAGGTTGGAAATAGGTTCATCAGTTGTTCTACCAACAACAGCAGGAATCTAATTAACTTTTGATACTTTAAATATTCTGCCTAAAAGAAGTGGTTTGAACATTTTAAGTCCCTTACCTAAAAATATGGTAAGTCATTAAAAAAATGATTATTTTGTACTTGCTTGATGCCACTGTGGCTGATGGAGTAGAATGCAGATAAGTGAATGATTGTTTCTTGTTTATTCCTCTTCTTAAAGGAAACCACTTTGTAATTAACAGTTAATAAAGAATGATTTCTGTGCAAATTTCTGGGTTGGGGAGTTATTATCCAGTGTACTTGGGCTCTGGAAACTGGACAGCCAATAAATGAAAAGTACTATAATAAGAACTAGATAAGATATCTCTAGATATCAAGAACAAGAACAACCTCCAATTACCTGTAGTTTACCTGGCTCAACATATACTTGATGAAGGTAAGAGAGTTCAACAGCCAAAATGTTGTAAAAGCAACAACAAAGATGAGGACAATAGTCTGTATGTAAATAATCATGAACATGGAATTCTCTTTTTAGACAGATTTTTTTCTGTCAATATAAAATCAATATTACTTGGAAGGTAGTGGCCAAAGTGGTCTTAAAATTGCTTTATTCTGCAAGTCTAAGCATTTTAAAGGGTATTGCACTGCAATGTGATATTTTACTATGTTGTTGTACCAAATACACAAACTTATGGAAATCAGATCAATACAATATAGACAATTATTCTTTTGAAATTTATATCATTTTTAAAGTTTCAAGAAAAAAGATGAGGAAATCATTCCATCTAGTTAGGATGTAACAATATAATAGACTGACTTAAGTAAAATAACAATTCAAGACTATAAGGTATCAAGGGATATAAAAGAGTGATGTGCCAGTCTTGATTTGTACTCTGAAACCTTTAAATACATTCCAAGATGGAATTTGCCTGAAAGCAAACATTAATAAGCTATTCTCATAAATCATTGATAATATAATGTGCTTTCTTTGACATCCTTTTGTTCCAGGTTAGGCTATAAGCTTCATCTAAATAAAACCAGAACATAAATGAAGTAATGATTATCAACATGAAAAAGAGAAAAAAAAATAAATTCAGAATCTGCCTCGGTCT